GTGTTAAATCATTTTCATTTATTCAGAAGCCGCAGCACAGCGCTGCGCACCGTGCCCCGTCTGGATAACAGCAGACTGGCTGCTCGTAAAATATACGACAGGTCTGGACCACTCGTGAATTTTGTTGGTATCTGAAAAAAATCGTAGAATACGAAAACATTGGTGAATGCCACAAATTCTCCTAAATCACTCGTACACACAATTTAAGAACAAATCTGTGCGTACGAACGGTTCTTGCATGAGGCCCATTGTTTGTTGGGGAGAAATCATCAGAATTTCTCACTCTGTCTTCCCATTGAAGAATACGTCACACAGCTCAGCATGTAAACAACAGTAGTTTTTTTTCACTCTGTATCAGAGAAAAAAAACTTAAACCTAATTTTCTTGGTATGTGTGGAGAAGAAAAGACAACAGAGACATTTCTTGCATGTTCATGTGCTTAATAGGACCAGATGAGAAATCCTTCAGGGAACGCAGCAGAGGCCTCACTTTTAAAGGATTGCATGGAAACCATGCTAAAAGGGAACGTACGGCCAAAAGGTGGGAATGGGGTACGCAAAAAAAAAAAATTCAGACAATAAATAAAATTAAATAACCCAAACATTGTTTCGTTTTTCAGATAGAAATAAGTTCACCCCCCTCCTCCCTCGCAATCTGTGCTATCTGTGGCTGACCTTTGCATGAAAAGTTGTGTGAAAAGTGGTGTACACAAGTTTCTGGGCTCGTTTTATGTGTACGCAAGCTTTATAAATCCAACCCCTGATCATTTTCAGAAACCCGTGTGTGTCCACAAAATAATGTTTCCTTAACAGAGGGTACACCACAAGGACTAAAGCTTCCTGAAAAAACAGCGTTACATTTATACAAAAGGATTTGATTTTTAAAATGCTTTTTAAGCTCAAGGAATGGGGTGTTGCATTATACATGTATACTCAATTCTATGCAACTTCAGATTTAAAAATCAAGTGAAGTATGATCCAAGGACAAGAATAACGTTTGGAGGAGTCAGGGTGTGGCTTTCAAACCTCATAACACTGAACCAACTGTCAAACATGGTGGTAGGATCATGCTGTTGAACTGGTGCACAGCATAAACTGTGTATGAGTATTAAATTTGTTTCTGAAGGAATAAAACAGACTAACATAAAGCAACTAACTAACCCTGATCATATACATATATATTTTTATGAATTGGAAATTAATAACCTGATGGTGATGTCTGCTTCTAGGGAGCTGGCTCCATGCTGCAGAGCTCTGTTGAAGGACATCATGGTGTTTTCAGGGGCCAACTAGAGCAAAGACAGGACACAAGATGACTACATTAGTCATTGTGCACAGAACACGTACCAAGGGGAAGAAATGTTTGATTGAAGTGAAGGGTTTGAGGGCATCCTGATTTAGAGATCATGCAATTATGTAAAACTGTTTAGTAACAAACCTCTGTCTTCACATTACACATTAATTTGCTCTGCATAAGTCAATATGACTAACTTTTTATGAAAGATTGATTTGATTTGATTTATTGATTTAACAGGAAAAGATTACTAAAAATCAAGCCTAACTCAGCATAATTGCTGTTTTACAGCAGGTTCCTGTTCTGCAGCACATAAAACACTCAGAATTACAGCATCACAATCACATCATTATACACCATAGACACAAAGACAAACAAGCAAACCAAATTTCAAAAGTCTGCAGCAGTTTATAGTTTCTCCCTGCAGGGATTTCCTCCTCTTCCTCTCCTGGGAAACATGGCCGCCCCCGAAGCAAAAACCTGGTGTGTCTGAACTGAACTGGACTTTGTTTGGTCAGATGGACGCTGCAGGGTTACGTGTGTTCACTGATACTTGACCCTCCTCAGTTCCTGTACCAGGATCAAATATTCTCTCAAACTGGATTACAGAGATTATTTC